AGCAACATCTGTATTTTTTTCTCATACACCACTCGGGGCCTCGAGGCTACTTGGCCACGATGCCGAGGGAGCGCGCGTCTGGACATTATAAAACTGCCTCTTGTCTTCTGCAGGACGACCACCCGCCGATTTCCTGTAACGTCTTACTGCCATCGACGAAGACCTTGCCTATTGTGTTTTCGGCCGTCCCTCTAGACATTAACTTGTAAAAAGAACTTTCAACCTCGAATTCCAATTCCATGTTAGAAATGGTTCATATTACACCGAATGTATGTGTTTAACAATTTTATTTATTTTAGTTTCTTAGTTTCTTCATGCATCGTAATGAAGGTGCGGCAAATTTCATCTTAGTTTCATTCTAATATCATTATACGTTTTCTATGATCCATGTTAATTGCATATTTTTTTTTGCGGATACAAGAACTTCAAACACTTGGAGCAAGATCGAAGTGGTACTAAAATGTGCAATGCACATAAAGCATACAGTAAGTCAATTTTCAATATTTCAGGAATAAAGATATTATCCTATCGAGCGAAGCTTCGAACGATAAGGAATTAACGCATGCACTCGTTTAAAAACATCGTTAGACGGAGGACAAGCTCGTCCACACAGTCACCCCCTAAATGTAAAGTCATTCAGGTATGAATGACACCAGCCGCTTAAGGTCAACCGACGAAGGCGGCTTGCTACCTGAAACGGAGCGCGCCGCTGTTTATGCCTGAAATATTGAATATGGACTTACTGTATGTTTTATGTCCATTGCACATTTTATTACCACTTCGATCTTACTCCAAGTGTTTGAGGTTCTAGTATCCGCAAAAATATGCAATTAACATGGATCATAGAAAACGTATAATGATATTAGAATGAAACTAAGATGAAATTTGCCGCACCTTCATTACGATGCATGAAGAAACTAAGAAACTAAAATAAATAAAATTGTTAAACACATACATTCGGTGTAATATGAACCATTTCTAACATGGAATTGGAATTCGAGGTTGAAAGTTCTTTTTACAAGTTAATGTCTAGAGGGACGGCCGAAAACACAATAGGCAAGGTCTTCGTCGATGGCAGTAAGACGTTACAGGAAATCCGCGGGTGGTCGTCCTGCAGAAGACAAGAGGCAGTTTTATAATGTCCAGACGCGCGCTCCCTCGGCATCGTGGCCAAGTAGCCTCGAGGCCCCGAGTGGTGTATGAGAAAAAAATACAGATGTTGCTCTAAGAATATACGAAAAGAAACGCGACCTCCAAGACACTTTCCCATGCAGTTTTTCCTTCCCAAAAAGTATTGACCATGAAAGAGTGGGGATCGACCTATTACGCCACATCGATCCTAACGAGGGAGGATCAGTTCAACAATATCAGTCGTCCTTTCCGAACGGTGCCCTTTGCATTCTACGAGCAAATAGAGTTCATCTTCGGAAAACTAAGTTTTAGTTTATTTAGCGATTACGTAGTGATTATTTAGTAGTGTCGCGTATGTCGTCGTTATAAATAGTGCAAATTAATTATTGTAAGTTTTATTAATTATTGTAGGTTTTATTAAGTATTGTAGATTTTATTAATTATTGCAAGTTTTATTAAATATTGTAGATTTTATTCATTATTGCAGGTTTTATTAAATATTGTAGGTTTTATTCATTATTGCAGGTTTTATTAAATATTGTAGGTTTTATTAATTATATCGTGTTAAAAATTAGTATAAAAGTTAGTGTTAAATAGTTTTAAATTAATTATTTTGAGTGTTAGTTTTGTGTAACCTATAGAGTGTTAAACCCAACGGAGGAACAGATCGCGGGTCTACTTAATCGCGCAGTGTGTGAACATTTTTCGCGGTCGGGACAATCGCGCAGTGTGTATGGACATTTTTCGCGGACGGGACAATGGCTCAGTGTGTGTGGACACTTTTCGCGGACTTCTGTGGTGTACGTGCGTGTGCGGATTAATTTCATGGATACTCGTGGACAGGACAATTGTGATACGTGACAACTAGAGGGGACATTAACCCTCTCTACTCGATAATATTCGTAAGAAGATATTTACATTTCTTGCGAATTTTATCGAGTAATCAGAGTTAATGCGATACAAACGGATTCGAGTCAAATACCGCGGGCACAAGTTATCGACATCTTCTACGAGGTAAGTAAACAGCTGTTCTACCGACTGTTCCTGCACGTCGTTGAGTCTTTAAATTGACTGTACGCCCCTGTTGAGCCGTGATCCGCTGACACTCCGTGCGCGCAGATTGCCATGATTTCGGTCAATTTTTAAACGCTTATAACTAACAAACGAAGCTTTTTTCGCAATTTCGTTATTCTTGATTTTCGTCTTATTTTGCCTCAAAGAATCACCCTTTAAATTTTTTCCTACTAGTTGTCGAACACCCTGTCTACACCCTATAAGTATTATTATCTGCATAACCTAAAAATATTCCTTTCAGTGTTTTTGGTTCGAATTTATTTCTTAATCTTTCCTTGTTTAATATGTACGCAATACAACCAAATCTCTTCATATACTTTATGTTTGGTCTCCTTCTATACCATAACTCATACAGTGTTTTTCCATACGCACTAGATTTAATCCTATTCTTAATATGTGCAGATGAATACATAGCCTCCGCCCAAAAGTTCATAGACAATTGCGAGTCTGCCATCAGAGATCTTGTTATTTCAACTAATGATCTTTTACCTCTTTCTGCTACTCCATTGCATTGTAGTGTTCGAGCCGGACTCAACTCATGTTTAATTCCTTTATTCTCCAACCAACCTCTTAAGTTATTTCCTATAAACTCTCCTCCGTTATCTGATCGGATTGACTTTAATCTCTTTCCTGTTTGATTTTCCTTCAAAACTATTAATTTCTTTAATTCATTTGCAGCTTCTCCTTTTTCTTTTAATAATATAACAACAAACTTTCTAGCGTAATCATCAATTATGGTAAAAACATACCTTCTACCCCCTTTAGAAGTTGGATGCACGGGCCCAATTAAGACTAAGTGCCACAATTCCATGATTTCTTTACTCTTTCTCCTCTCGAGCCTTGGGTGTATTTTCCTACACGCTTTCCCTTCGACGCAACCTTTATACTGTATGTTCATCCTGTTCTCTTCCTTCATGCCAATCACCAACTCTTCTTTCTTCATTTCTTCGATGATCCTTTTGTTCACGTGGCCCAATCTTTTGTGCCATATATTATCTTCAAGTGTCGCAGTAACAACTTTACTATTTGTCCCTATTGACTCTACATAGTATGCATTACCCTTACGCACTGCTTCCATTTGTATTTTTCCAGGTTCTTTATATACTTTAGCACCATATTCATCAAATGTAACCTTATACCCATAGTCTGTAAATTTGGCTACCGACAATACGTTAGTATTCAGGTCAGGCACACATAACACGTTTTTCAGTCTTACTCTATTTTCTATATCTTCTTGTCTCAGAAGAACTTCTCGGATTCCATTGGAAACTAACTTTCTTCCTCCTTTGTCTGCTAACATTCTTTCTCTTTCTTCACTACACAACTTATCAAACATTTCAGGGTTCCATACCATGTGATTCGTAGAGCCTGAGTCTACTAGCCATGTTATATTTTTACTTTCCACACCTTCGCTGCACTCTTTTCTAACTCTTGCTATCTTATTCATGTGTATTCGTTCAGTCATGGTCATCACGGCTTCATCTGTAGTCCTCATCATTGTTTCGCCTCTGCCATGACTTTGTCCATTCTCTTTCCAATGGTTCCTCTTCTGAAATCGTCCTCGCTATCCTCTTCCTCTGGAGGGTTTCGCACCCTTCATTTCCTTGCATTCTGCTGCAATGTGCCCTGTTCCTTGGCAATTAAAGCATTTTAATTTTCCATAGCACTCACCTGATGTATGGCCCCTCTTTCCACAGTTGTAACATAGTATCTTGCTCTTTGTTTTTTCCTTCATTTTTCTCACACTTTCAGAATCTCTCAACATTCTATCTTCTTTACGCTTATCTTTTCTAATTTCTTCCAGTTTTAGTGCATATCTGATGTCATTAATATTTATGTCTCGCTGATTTTCCAGTATTCTAACGTTTTGTTCAAATTCTCCTCTTAGGCCTCTCATGATGTATATCTTCAATTCATATGTTTCCATAGCCTTTCCTAATTGAGCACACTGGTTTCTTAATGATTCGGCTCTGTTTATAAATTCGTCCATGGTTTCTTCTTTCGTCATACGTAAATTTGTTAATTCGCTTAGTGTTCGCGCCTTCACTTGTTCTGTTTCTGCCGCCATATTACACTTTATCTTGTTCCATAATCTATCTGCAATTTTTTCGTCACAGTATTTTAATACCTGCGCTTTCGTCATTGTATTAATCATTGTAGTCCTTGCAGCGTGATTATTGTCATCCCATTCGTCCCATACTTTATATTTCTCATCGTATCCTTCTTCTTCCGCCTGTGGTTGTTCGGGCGGTTTTACACCTATTACCTTTTTCCATCACTTTTTCGCTCTTAATATTCCTTCTATTTTTTCCTTCCAGAGGAAATAATTAGTGTCGTTTAGCGGCTCAACAGTCGTCAGATTCCAGCCCTCTGCCATTCTAACCTCTATTTTTGCACGTGCCACGTGTTTCTCTCGACACCACTTTCTTTCATTTTTTCACTATTCTTTACAACCACGTTCTGCTACCATTTGTGGGGGCAGGAATGGGAATTTTAACCACACTTTCATATTATATAGAACGTATTTATTGTATACAGTGGTACCTCGACATACGAGTTTAATTCGTTCCGTAACCTTGTTCGTATGTCAAATTGCTCGTATCTCAAAGCAATTTTCCCCATTGAAATTAATTGAAATGCCATTAATCCGTTCCAGCTCCCAAAACACCACCTCAGTTGTTTTTGTTTTTGAATAAGAAAAATGTATTTACAAGAAGAAACATTTATTTATAAATAACAAATACATATTCTATAAAAACATAATAAAAGAAAAAGTGAAGTGCTTACGGAAGCGCTTAATTTTCATCACTGTTCTTCGCTTTTTTCGTCACGCTTGGCTCATTTTCACCTGCAGATCGTTTAAAAAATCTGTCCAAGGAGGTTTGTTTCTTCCTCCCTTTCAGGATATTGCGGAAATGAGTTAGGCAAGTTTCGTTGAACAACTCCGATGCACGACCAGTTGCAACTTTTTCGGGGTGATTTTTATCCACGAACTCTACAACTTTCTCCCACATTCCCAAGATCTCCTTTATATCTCTTGTAGAGATAACCTCCTCCATCTCTGGCTCCTCTTCAAAACTCATTTTTCGTTGAACCACCGTATGCTGCTGCGAATGTAGATCGTGTAACTCCTCGGTTGTCAGCTCCTGAGACTGTTCCTCGACTAGTTCGTTCACATCTCTCTCATCCACCTCCAGACCCATGGATTTTCCCAGAGAAACAATCTCCTCTACCACTGACACTTCGGGTTCCAATCCTTCGAAGGCCCTTTCAGCTACAGCCTCAGGCCACAGCTTCTTCCATGCAGAGGTTAAGGTCCTCGTTGTAACACCCAGCCAGGCCTGATCAATAATTCTTAGGCATATCACGATGTTAAAGTGGTCCTTCCAGAACTCTCGAAGGGTAAGGTTTGTGTTCTCCGTCACCTCAAAGCAGCGCCGAAAAATGTGCTTGGTGTACAACTTCTTAAAATTAGAAATCACCTGCTGATCCATGGGCTGCAGGATAGGAGTGGTGGTGGGTGGTAGGTAGAGAACATTTATAAACTTGAACTCTTCGAGTAAATCATCTTCGAGATTTGGTGGGTCAGCAGGGGCATTGTCGAGGACGAGAAGGGCTTGCATGGGTAGGTTGTTTTCCTGTAGTTATTTTTTAACAGAAGGGCCAAACACCAGGTTTATCCACTCCACAAAGAATTTCCTGGTGACCCACGCCTTCGGATTTGCCCTCCACATAACTTGCAGTTTTTCTTTTAAAATCTTATGTGACTTAAATGCTCTGGGATTATCCGAATGGTATAATAGCAGAGGCTTGATTTTGCAGTCGCCACTCGCATTGGCGCAAAGTGCTAGAGTTAATCTATCCTTCATGGGTTTGTGACCTGGCATCGTCTTCTCCTCTGCCGTTATGTAAGTTCTATTCGGCATCCTTTTCCAGAAAAGCCCTGTCTCGTCACAGTTGAACACTTGCTGGGGGATGTATCCTTTGGCTTCTATCAGTTCGGAAAACGTTTTGATGTAAACCTCAGCTGCCTTCACATCCGAACTTGCTGCCTCACCATGCCTGACGACGGAGTGAATGCCGGTCCTTTTCCTAAAGTTGTCAAACCAGCCCCGACTGGCTTTAAACGAGTCTTCCGATTCCTTGTTTGTGGAAGTGTGTGGGATCTGCTTCAGCAAATCACCGTAAATCGCTCGTGCCTTCTCACATATGATGCTTTGTGTTAAGGTTCCTCCTTGAAGCTGCTTCTCTGTCACCCACACCATCAGTAGTTTCTCCATCTTTTCATGGAGAGAGGTCCGGAGCTTAGAAATTATTGTAACGCCCTTAGCTGGCGTTACACCATTTATCAACTCCTTCTGTTTAAGCATAGTACATATCATTGATGTGCTACGCCCGTACATCCTCGCCAAGTCAATTACTCGCACACCTTGCTCATGTTTTTCTATGATTTCACGCTTTAATTCAATAGACATCATCTTCTTCTTCGGACCCATGGTTATAAAAATAAATGTGATAATGTTTTGTAAATGTACAAAAAGCAAAAAACGCGAACCCAACTTATCAAAAATGCTTCGAAAACGAGGGAAACAAGCACACAGACTGAGGTCTAGTCTGAGGCAGTGATGCCAGAATCGTGGGATTTTCTCGCGAGCGCTTACCCTCTCCATGCCTCCCGTGGGTATTCTCCACAATCATATTCTATCCTGTTACAAAGTGAAATTACAAAATAATTGAAAATAAAAAGTAAAACTGCCGCATTGGGACTCGATGAGGGTCTCCGGACTGTTGCTGACGTCCTTAGGTTGCCCGATATCGCGTCGAAACGTGAATTTTTACCGCAGTGAGAATTGAGATTCGACGAGGGTCTCCAACGCCTCCCCATTGTTTACGTTGCCGAATGACGTACCGAATGTTGGCGGAAAGACCCGAACGCAGGCGCACACGGACAGAGGTAGAAAATGCTTGTGTTGGTAGTCGCCGAGTAGGACGTGGTGGGGCAGAGCTCACGGACAGGATAGAATATGATTGTGTAGAATACTCACGGGAGGCATGGAGAGGGTAAGCGCTCGCGAGAAAATTCCACGATTCTGGCATCACTGGTCTGAGGTGGGAGAAACTGTTAACGCAGCGGTGTAGTGTGCGATTCCTCGTATCTCAAATCTTGCTCTCATCTCAAAGCAAAATATCGCTCGCTCGGCGGCTCGTATCTCAAAACACTCGTATATTAGGGCACTCGTATATCGAGGTACCACTGTATATTCTGTTGAATAAAGGATTATGTTTGTTCGCACGTTGTTCTCTCTTCTCTCATACGCAATACACACCCTGCTTCTCCATCCCACACAGATGTCCCCCCCTTCACTCGCTCACTAAAATCAACTACATTACACACAAAATGGGTAATAAACGATGTATACTGTTAGAGTTAGTGGTTCAGGATAATCAGCCGGGATCAGAAACAGTCTTATTCAGTCAAACACAGACTTATAATTAATATTGCACAAGTTTATTATGGGGTCTCCCTAGTGTGACGCACTAGAAATAAGGCAATCTTTGAGAATTTTTTAAAAGAAAAATACTTCGTGTTACAGTTCCAAGTTTTGAGCATTTATTCATTGACATTTGAAGAATGTATTTAAATTTTTGTAAGCAATAATAATTATTATATTTATAGTTATCGTGGTTATAAAACGACCTCGAAAAAAAAACACGTGTTGCTGGCGAACATGATTGCCGCTGTTGTAGCCATCTGAAACAGAAAAGGCAAGAAGATTCTTAATCTGTATGAGTGTGGCTATAGCCGGAACTAGAACAAAAGAAAATCGACAAAAAATACAAAAATGGCAAAACTTTTAAAAAAAATGTCACTTTTCGGCAAAAAATTTGTTAACTTTTTCAGCCGCAAAATTCGAATTTTGCGAATAAGGACTTTATTCTAGTTCCCGCTATAACAGGACATGTACTGAATATATATGTTAAGCCTCAAGTCATTTGGTTCAGTAGTTTTTGAGATATCATGTTCGCCAGGTCGAAAAAAGTCGTTTCGAGAAAAACGCGTTTAAAAGTTCAGATACTGTTTAACAGGTAATAAATTATACTTACGATTAATCACCTATGCCAGGTGCATACAGGACACCTTCCTCTTCCTCATAAAATTCCTGTATTGCTGCATTTGCCTTCCTCCTAGCAATTCGAGCCTCTTTTGTCGCCTCGAGGTGCCTTTTTTCACAGAGTAAAATTCGCCTGGAGTCTTGCGTATCCGCAAAACTTTTGGCTGCTAGTCCAATCACTATGCCCATCGTGTTGAGTATTTTTAAAATTGACAGATAGCCATCATTATATATTGCAGTGGCTAAATAAGATGCTATCTCAACCGTTTTTGCCCCAGAATATATATGTTTGGGAGCAAAGTGCCAAAGTAGGCCGTTAAAACTCTCATTATTCTGTGTGTTTCCACCTAAACATCGTTCTAATAAATTGTCTTGAGATAAATCAGTATAAATGGGTTTGATAACTTGCTGTACAAGATCACGTCTTCACTTTCCAGTAATTTTTTACCAGATGTGCTGGCGAAACTTACGCCCTGCTCTGCAGTGTAACGATTTCCGCCAAATTTTCTTTTCCTGGTTCTATTTCCAGTGGCTTTTAAATGTTGCTTGTCACTTTTCTTAGCCATTTTCTGTCCCTTCGGTCACTTCTGTTCTGCCCGAAGGTCTACGACGAACTGAATCATTCACAGAAGGGGATGATTGAGGTAGCCGGGTTGTAGAAAACTCTGGGAGTAACGATTTTACATTACAAAAGAATCGGCCTTCGCTGCAAGCGTCGAGCGCTCCGACTGTATACCTGCGCGCCCGGTCGCGCCACTACATTTCATAGCTCATAGCGTTGCCAATTTTTCAAATTCAGCCGTAATGCTTTAGGAATATGTTCTTAAGTTATTGAACTTTAAGAAAAAGCAAAAAAAAAATCGATTTTTTTGACCCGTCACACTAGGGAGACCCCTTAATAAAGACACACGTGTTTTTATTAGATACAGAGAAGAAGTGTTTTGTCATAGAAAGTACACAAAGGGATAGAATAGAAAGAGGGTGCGCAGACTGTTGAGTGTACGCGGTGAATTTAAAATGTAGAATTTATTTCTAATACCCCCTCTCAACGTGGATACTCATCAATTGCATTCAGTCCTAAGCCGCGCATTAATTTTGCGTGACTGACATTGCAGAGGCTCTTAGTTAACATGTCTGCTAGCATGTCTTGCGTTGGTATGTATTGAACATCGATTCCCTCTCCTTGATATATCTCGCGGATATAATGATACCGGATGTCGATGTGTTTCGTTCTTGAGTGGTATACAGCAGTGCTCCCCAACCTTTTTCTCGCCGCGGACCGGTCAACGTTTGATAATTTTACCGCGATCCGCTGAGGGGGGGACGTTGATTGTTTATATTTTAGATTGTTTTGATTTAATAATTTTAATTTAATTGAAAGTGATATAACATTTTAACTCATTAGAACGCTAAATCAATGAGACCCATGAGCTTGTTTCTTTGCAACGAGACGGTTCCATCTGGGGCTAATAGGAGACAATGACACCCGAAGTGTGTTGCTTATGTCCAGTTTATTCCGTTGTTTTGTTTTGGTTGCTGTCACTGCAGAAAATCCCGCTTCACACAGATAGGTTATCGGAAATAGCAATAGGGATTTAAGTGCTGTGGTGGCAATCTCAGGATATTCCGCCATGACTTTAATCCAGAACACCGGTAGAGTTGTTGTCTCGAACGTAGTTTTAAGGCCGCCGTCATTTGCAATCTCCAGCAGTTGATCTTCTTCTTGCACAGACATGCTAGATTCGTCTGATTTGTTGACGAATGTGTCGCGGATCCATTCTTTACCAGTTCGTGGGTCTTTTGTGGTTGGGAAGTAGCGCTCGAACTCTTTTAAAAGCAAAGACAGGTGATCGTGCACCAACTGGGAGAATGAATGTTCAGGCTCAGTCTCGCCTAAAATCCTCGCTAATCTCTGAAACATGTCTAAAATGCCTCTGTTCATGCGCCGTCCCCACAACTCCAGTTTGGCTATAAATGCAGCTACTTTGTCTGCCAACTTGAAAACAGTTGTCATTTCCCCTGAAGGCACAGATTGAGTTCATTGAGCAGGCTGAATATGTCACACAGGTAAGCCAGTTTTGCGACCCATACCTTGTCACTGAAATGTGCTGCCAGCGGTGACTTCTTTTCTGAGAGAAATCTTTGCAATGGCACTCGTAATTCAAATACTCTGATTAGCGATTTTCCTCTGGATAACCATCTTATTTCTGTGTATAAGAGAATGCATCTGTACTCTGCGTCCATCTCCTCACAAAGCTGCTCAAACAGGCGCGAGTTAAGGGCGTGTGCTTTGATGTGGTTAATAACTTTAACGACATCAATCAATACGCTGTTAAATTCCGGTGACATTTTTCGGCTTGCCAGCATTTCCCTGTGAATGAGACAATGCGTAGATTCACACTCAGGTGCAACCTCCTTAATCCGAGCAGTGAAACCAGACAGTCGTCCGGTCATGGCAGCAGCTCCGTCTGTGCATATGCCGACACAAAAGGACCATTTTAGGTGTTCTA